TGCATTGGGATTCGAGCAGCCACACAGCAGAAGTCACTTTTGCAGCAAATCTGTGCATTGGGTTTAAGGTTTGTGGGATGTGTGGGCTTGCCCTGAGTTTAGGTCTGCCAGTCTGTCACCAAAGCCACCCAGCTTACCTTGTGGCTTTGGTTTCCCCTCGCCTTCTGGGGAACTGGGTTTGGAGCTGCAGTTTTTCTATGCTTTTCAGCTGTCTTTTGTGACACCCGATACTTGTCCTCTCTTTCTTCAGAAAAATTGTCTCTCCTTTGCTACCCTGACTTTTATCATTTATGGAGTCTAATGGAGGAGGCATCTGATCTGCCATCTTGCTTCCCTCTCCAATTACAGTAATTTTTTTTTTTTTTTGCAGTGTTGGAGTTTGAACTCGGTTTTCACCTTGAACCACTCCACCAGCCCTTTATTTAGATCAGCTCTGGCAAACTATTTGCCTGGGGTTGGCTTCAAATGGAAATCCTCCCGATCTCTGAGTAGTTAGGATTACAGACTGAGCCACCAGAGCTCATTATGACAGTTTAGTTGATCAAGGAGGAAGTCAGGAGAGCTCTATGTTGCCATATTTCTAAACATTTTACTTGCAGTGCTGGGGGTTGAACCCAGGGCCTTGCACATGTGAGGCAAGCGCTCTACCACTGAGCTACATCCCCTGCCGGTCTAAACATTTTATAAAAAATCCTCATGCTATTTGTCTTATGAACTTTATAACTATTGTCAAGATTTTAGAATTTGAGGACAAACATTAAGGAGTGTAAATAAAAACCTGACCGTTTTTACACTGTATAAAGCTGTCCTTGTGCAAAGCATGGTTATGGTGAGTCCCGTGGAGTTGGCTGCCCTTGTGACTATGGCTTGGGGCTCTTGTTTTGTGGGAGACTGAGGCAGTGGAAGAAGGCCTTGACATGAGCACGGCTCTGCCAAGGGCCTCTTGGATGATAGGCACGGACCCAGCCAAGGTGAGACAAAGTTCAGCAAGGCCGCCTTGCAAGAAAAACAGGACACGCTGACCTTGTCAGGATAGTCTGTACTAAATAGCAACATACCACAGCTTCACTGTTCCTGCCACCTATGCGATTGGACCCATGAGAACTCGACCTGCATTTCACTCTGCTTTCTCATACATGCTGTATAAATAAATGTGCTTGGAGGGGGAGGGGGTCACCAGCATCTCTCATCAGTAGCTTTGGACCCACTCGATCCCAGCTTTTCTTTATGTCTGTCTTTGTGTCTTTTTCTTAATCCCTAGTTGCCCCCAGTCAGGTCAACAGACATAGTCACACTGGCTGTGAGACTGTTTGCAAGCAGTTTGCATTCCCTGTTCATGGCCACTTATACCAGAGGCTCTCCAACTTTCCTGATCAATGCCATCATGACCTCTTACCAAAATTGCATTTAGATTCCTTTGATTTTAAAGGTGCCACCATGGATAAATATGTGGATATGGAAACCAGGATGAAAATCAGTGGCCTTCATCAACTCAGTCATTAAATGACTGAGTTAGTTGCAGACCATGTATCCACACCCAGTGCCCTTGTTCAGCAGGGGAAAAAAAGCATTCTCAATCACTGTCTTGAATTCTGGTAATGTAAGGGCAGGCATACAAAAATTATAAATCAGGATTTCATTACTACTCCAGTCATTAGGGATCTCATGATGGGGCCTGAGGGCTGAGTGCAGGTTAAAATCATGTGTGAGGCTGTTCACAGAAAGAAAAGGGAGAAGCTCTGGTTTAGCTGACATCTCCACCCAGCTTTAAAAAAAGTTTGAAAAAAAGTCATTAGCTAGCTGGGTGTGGTGGCAAACGCCTGTAAACCCAGCACTTGGGAGGCTCAGGCAGGAGGATCACAAGCTCAACGCCAGTCTGAGCTACACAGTGAGACTGTCTCAAAAAAAAAAAAAGACATAAAAAGTTGTTAGCTAGGTTTTTTTATCACTCATCCTTCTGCTTACATGGTCTTTCGCTGAGCTAGAATGCTCGTAATCCAGGCATTTATTCCACAGCTGCTATGTCCAAAGTGTGGTGTGATACACATGTGTGGCTGGGTCCCTTCATCTCAAGGATCTCAAAATCTAATACCGAATATGTCCTAATAGCTATCTTTAAAGCAAGGTGGAACGAGTTAGGGCTTTTGATGGAATTTCAATGGAGTATGGGGTTCCAGAGGTAGAGGTGTGTTAATTGAAGAGGCTTAATTTTAACTTAAAATTAGCACATAATTGTACAAAACGATGGGTTTCATTATGACATTTTCCTACATGTATTTACTGTGCTTTGGTTATATTCAGCCTCTCTCTTTCCCCCTCCCACGGGTCCCCAATCTTTTCCCAATGATCCCCGTCTACTTTCACATCATTTTTGTTTAAATCACGATTCTGCATATGAGAGAAAACATGCAATATCTGTCCTTCTGAGTCTGACTTATTTGGCTTAACACGATGATCTCCAGTTCCACCATCCATTTTCTTATAAGTGACATAATTTCACTCTTCTTTGTGCCTGAATAATATTCCATTGTGTATGTATGGCACTTTTTTTTTAATCCATTCATTTGTTGCTGGGCACCTAGGCCAATTCCATAGTTTGGCCACTCTGGATAGTGCTGCATTAAACATGGGTGTGCAGGTGTCTCTGATGTATGCTGACTTTGAGTCCTTTGGATAGAGATCGAGATGTGGAATCGTATGGTAGATTTAGTTTTTTAGGGAACTTAGGGAACCTCTGTAATTTTCATAGTGGCTGCACTAATTTACATTCCCATCAGTAGTGTATAAGGAGTACTTTCCAACTGCTTCCTTGCCAGCATTTGTTGTTTTTATGACTGCCATTCTGACTGGGGCAAAATGGAATCTCAGTGCAATCTGTGCTTGCATTTCCTTGATGACAAAAGATACTGAACATTTTTCACATACTTGCTGGGCCTTTATTCTTGTTTTCATATGCCCATTAATTGGTTGGATTGTTTTTTGATGTTTAATTTTTTGAGCTCTTTATGTGTTATAGATATTAATCCCCTGTTAGATGAGTGGCTGGCAAAGGTAATTTTCCATTTTGTAGACTGCTTCTTTTTATTTTTTTGGGGCACTGGGGTTTGAACTCAGGGCCTCATGCTTGCTAGGTAGGCACATTATCACTTGAGCCTTGCCCCCAGCTATACTTGTCTCTTAATTCTGGGAGGCATTTCCTTTTCTGCACAAAAGTTTTTTTTTTTTTTGCAGTACTGGGGCTTGAACTCAGGGCTTTCACCTTGAGCCCCCTCCACCATCCCTCTTTGTGATGGTTATTTTGAGATAGGGTCTCTTGAACTATTTGCCCGGGCTGTTTTCAAACCTCGATCCTCCTGATCTCTGCCTTCTAAGTAGCTGGGATTGCAGGTGTGAACCACCTGCACCCAGCTGATTTGTGTATGTTGAATCATCCTTCTAATGAAATTGGTTAGTGTTTTTTTTTTTTTTTTTTTGTGCTTTTGGGGACTTGAACTCAGGGCCTCACTTGTTAGACAGGTGCTCTACCACTTGAGCCACTCCACCAGCTCTTTTTTGTGATGGGTTTTTTCAAAATAGGGTCTTGTGAACTATTTGCTTGGGTTGGCTTCAAACCAACTACCTCCTGAGTAGCCAGGATTACAGATGTGAGCCACCAGCGGTGTATATTTTTAATTGTGTTGATTCAGTTTACAAGTATTTTATTGATAAGAGGCCTAATTTGAAGCATCCTTCTGACTAACTATATATACCATCAGCTTGTACTGTAAAAGCAAAATAAATGGATCTTTAAAATAAATGATTGTAACAGTGGTATTAGGAAGACAATCATGAACCAAAATTTCCAACTCCTATTAATCATGAAGTTAGTATAAAGTGAAGAATACTTTATACATTCAACACTTTTTTTTTTTCCCCGGTACTGGGGTTTGCACTCAAGGCCTACACCTTGGACCACTTTACCATCCCTTTTTTGTGAAGGATTTTTTGCAGATTGGGTCTGGTGAACTATTTTCCTGGGCTGGCTTTGAACCATGATCTGTCTCATCTCTGCCTCCTGAGTAGCTGGAATTACAGGGGTGAGCCACTGGCACCTGAGCATGTAACATTTCTTGAAGTTCCAACTTCCTAGAGTGGTGACTAATCAAAAGCTTAAGGCAATATTGTTTTTTGTTTGTTTTGTGGTACTGGGGTTTGAACTCAGGGCCTTATGCCACATTGGTTAAGCTGGAAAATAAAGAGTGTAAATTTCATTGGTCAAAATGATACCATGAGATTTCAATTTCTGTTTTGGGGGGATGGAGGTTATCAGGGTCTGTGTTGCCCAGATTTGTCTGTAACTCATGGACTCAAGTTATCCTTTACCTTAAGTCTCCCAACTAGCTGGATCTGCAGGCATGCACCAACATGCCCAGCTGGGATTTCAAGTTTAAATCATCTTTAGATCATCAGTAAACTGGTGGCTGTAGCAGAGTACCTGCTCAACACGCATGAGGCCCTGGTTTCAATCCTTAGCACTCAAAACAAAAACAAAAACCAAAATAATACACAAATGAAAACAAAGATATAAAGGGAATCTTATTAAAGACTATATCAAAACAGTAGTTTAATTCCAGTGTTAACAGGAATGTTTTTACTCATTTTTTGGCAGCACTGGGGTTTGAACCAAAGGCTTTGTGCTTGCTAGGCAGGTGCCCTTCTAATTGTTCATTTTCATGCCATCAGACTATTTCTTTTAACCCTACCAGAAAATTTTTTTCCATAAGAAAAAATTTGACTTCCTAGTTTCAATTAAAGTTATTTAAAAATAAAGGGAACATTTCTGAGCACTTAGAAAGTCAATCAAGAACTGTTCAACAGCTTTTTCATTTAAAATAAAAAATTTGTCCACAAAATACATCTGCATGTTTATTTTCAGTGAATCTCCAATTTATATTCTATAATGCATCTCTTTTGAGGATAACTAGGATTTAAAAAAACTTTGTACCTTATCCATTTAGGTGTCTAAATACTAAAATAACTAAGTTCAGTGATGTGCCAAATGCTATTGTGATTTCTCAGGTGTTTATTAGAACAGGCCACGTTCTAAGCACCCTGCATCCTAACTTACTTAATCTTCACTAAACTTAATCTTACTTAAACTTCCCAGTCCTACCACACACAAAGGCAGAGAAAGAAAGGGAACCAGTGAGCTGCTTAGAAACACAAGCCAAAGTTTAATAAAAATACGTTTTATTGATTACGTATAATTTTAGCCATATTAATATATATTATAAACTTTTAAGAATTAGGAAGAATAATCTAAGTTATGGTAGCATGCTCAGTGAAGTCCTGCAGTCATTATATGTCATCTTTAGGTAACCAGGAAGTTACCACCAAGTTTTATAGTAGGATACAAGTCATCCCTGTCACACAGACACAACCCCAAATAATATTACTTATATAATGTATAAATTTTAACTTTTTATCCACAAGAGTTGTCTCAAAAAGCTAAAAAGGCACGAGACAGTTGCAAAATGCTACTCTGGACTTGGTATTTGGGGTTCTTAATTTTTTCCTAAAACCCCTGTTTACAATTAAAATGAAATCATACCACATTATACTTATAAAACATTTAACACAACACAGGAAATGTCAGATAGTTTGAGCAGGTGTTTTTGGCAGATCACAGAAATAAAACAGTGCTGTTGAAGCAGAAGCCTTTGCTTTTAGTGTTTCATAGCTGGAGACAATGATGAATGTCATTCAAATTTCTCGTCTCCTTCTTCCACATCTTTCAAGCTGAGTACTTCCAAAGAACCTTTGCCTTTGGTTTCCTTCTTTATTAGCTCATCAATCTCTCGGAAGCATCCTGGGTCAATCAGACACACCTGGAACATTTAATGTGGTGGTTTAAGACACGAAGATGGATGACACATCAGAATAAACTGCTCTACCTCCCCTCAGAGCAAGCCTGACACTTTTAGTTAGAAGTTAGGGCCATGGTGAGGGCAGGGTGGGACACTGGGCTCCAGTGCAGCTTCTGCGTCAGCCCTGTGACAAGGCGTTCATGTCCCTGGTCACACTTCCCAGCACAGTGAAGCTGCAGTTCCCTGGTGCAGCCCTTGCTCAGCACTCTTCAGACCCTGGGTTCAATGCCAGTGCCCCCGATGGCCCCCAAACCAAACTGAAGTGTGGACTAGAAGACTATGTGCTACAACTTGGCGTTGAATTTCTACTTGAATGAAATCACCCTGCACAGGAAAAAGTAACCTCAACACCCATTTACAAGCCCTGTGGAAAGTTTTGGAGAATTCAGAACTCCAGTGTCAGATACGTTTCTCACATCTAAAGTGAATACTCACGACACTCAACAGTTCTCTACAGCTCATTTAGTTGTTAATACTGCTCTTTTAAAATGTTTTTGGTAAACAAGGCTGACGAACTTCTAGTCTCATTTCTGTTTGCTCCATAATAGAAACCTAATGCAAAACATACTGCCATGCAATAGAAAATAAATACAACTCACATAATTTTATCATGAATAATCTAAGAAAACAACAATCTGAAGTGTGCTTAAGTACAACGCAGTCCTTCTAATGCCTTGACTTGTCCACCTAACTCACTGTCCACAGTGTCTAGGTGTCTGTGATGCATGCTATGGTTTGAATATGAGATGTAGGCCACAGGTCTTGAGCTTTTGGGGCCCAGCTGGTGGCACTTTTTGGGAGGTTCTAGAAATGAAGAGGTGGGGCATAGCTGGAGGATGTAGGTCAGTGCCTTTGAAGGTTATACCTGGTCCCCTCTTCTGTGTCTCAGCCTCCCTTTCCCCTTTCTTTCTGTCTCTGCTTCCTGTCCATCATGAGGACAGCCTCCTCAGCCACACGCCCATGCTACCATGATGTTCTGCCAAAGTGCAGGAGACCCAGTGACCGTGGACTGAAGCCTCTGAAACCATGACCTAAAATAAGACTTTCCTCCTTGAAACTGTTCTGTCAGTTATTTATTTTGGTCACAGCTATGTGAATGTAACTACAACATTTCTGACTAGAAAATAAACTAGTCTGGTAGCATGAAGCAAAGAAGTAAGAGTATCCAGCTTACGATTTCTAACTGCTGGCCGTAGTCCTCACTTTCTATGACTTTCATCAGTGGCTTGAGCTTCTCCTTTAGCTTCTTCCCTTCATTCACTGGCAGGGTGAACCGGAGTCTCATGTGGGCGCGCTCTATCTTCATCTTCTCCTTCAACTGCTTTATCACTTCCAGAGCCTATCCGGACAAAATGCAGAGGGTTTGTATTTCCTTTACTTCTGCTGTGCCATTATTTCCTAAGGCATCCGAAAAACAAGTGGCTTCCATCTAGATGCATGAGGCAGTGGTTTCTTAGCTATGACACAACATAAAGCAACCTTAGGAAAAACTCACAGAAACTGGATACCAAAATAAAAAGCCTGTGATTCAAGAAACACTACTAAGAACTGCTAAGTAGCAGAAGGTACTTGCCTGACACATGCAAGGCCCTGGTTCCACCCTAGCACTGCACACAGTCAAGAAAACTCACTATCAAGAAAATGGGAAAAACAAGCCAGGTGCTGGTGGCTTATGTCTGTGATTCTAGTTACTTGGAAGACTGAGACTGGGAGGATCTAGGTTTGAGACCACCCTGGGCAAATAGTTCATGAGACCCTATCTCCAAAATAACCAGAGCAAAAAGAACTGGCTCAAGGGCTACAATGTCTGCTTTGCAAGCTCAAAGCCCTGAGTTCAAACCCCAGCCCCACCAAGAAAACCAAAAAGCAAAAACAAAACCTGCAAAACTTAAGTTACCTCACCCAGCAAGTCTACTACCAGGTATAACAGAGAACTAAAAATGTATTTATCCACACCCAAACTGATAGTGAACTTTGAGGCTTTACTCATAATAAGTACAAAGTGAAAACAGCCCACCGTTGTCAGCTGCTGAACAAGGTAAGAAGTATGGTTACTTCCCTACATGGATATTATTCAGCAATACGGATCCATGCCACAGTACAGAACTGTCTTGAAAAGGTCACCTACTGCATAGTCAGTGTAATTGAAAAGTTCAGGACAGACAAGTCCTTGGAGAGAGAAAGCAGAAGAGTGGTTGCTGGGGTGGGGGTGGTGGTGGAGGGGGGGTGGTGTGTGTGTGTGTGTGTTGTGAGACAGGAAACAACTGCTAGTGGTACAGGGTTTAGTGCTGGAGTGATAGAAATGTTCTCACAATAGGACTCAGGAAGGCTGTAAAACTTGTGAGTATACTACTAAATTGCATACTGTGAAAGGGTGGTTTTTGTTTTGATATGTATATATTTTTTGGCAGCACTGAATTTTGAACTCAGGGCCTCATGCTCGCTAGGCAGGTGTACTTACCACTTGAACCACTCTGCCTGGCCTGTTTGGATTTTTTACACAGGGTCTGGCTATGTAGCCCAGGCTGGCCCTGGACTCTGATCCCCTTGTCTCAGCCCTTTCAACTGCTAGGATTATTGGTGTACACACCCAGTTTAAAGGGTAACTTTTATGATATATGAATTATATAAACAGAAAAATCTAACAGTTAAAATGTCTCTTTAAAGATCTAAGTTTTGTCTTCAAAAGTTTGATTTGCATAGGAAGATAGGAGTCCTCTGTGAATTTGTGTTTAGTTTAAAAAAAAGATCTTTCTAACCCCAATTTCTGTCCTCCATTCTTCCCAACCGCCTGCTGCCATGCGTACCCATTACTTTAATGATTTCTTTTGGGAAAACTGATTTTCATGGATGTTAGCTTTTTTTTTTTTGGTACTGGGGTTTGAACTCAGGGCCTACACCTTGAGCCACTCCTCCAGCCCAGTTTTGTGATGGGTTTTTGTTGAGATAGCGTCTTGGGAACTATTTGCCCAGGATGGCTTCAAACTGTGATCCTCCTGATCTCTGCCTCCTGAGTAGCTGGGATTATAGGTGTGAGCTACCAGTGTCTGGCAGATGTTAGTTCTGATCCCATGAAAACCCACTCACCTGCTGCTTTGTACTCTTGTTGGGTTTGACTGAATAGTGGATATCCTTCATGGCTCTCTCAATGAGGATAACAGTGTATGGTCTCTTTGTTTCAGGGTTCACACACTTGTCTGCCACAATGGTTGCGATGTCTCTAAACATCTGTTCCAGTTGCGTGTGCCTCTCTTTATCTGATACTTGAACTTCTCCTTTAGTCAAAATCTAAAAATTCCAGGAAATTTAAGAAAATGAGCCTTTTCTATTATACACTATTTGTCAGCTAACCACAAGAATGAATCAGTGGGGTGATTTATTATAAGATTTAATTTAATTTCTGTGGGCTTTTTTTTTTTGGGCAGCAGTGGGGTTTGAACTCAGAGCTTCATGCTTGGCAGGCAGGTGCTCTTACTGCTTGAGCCACTCTGCCAGCCCTAATTTCTGTAGATTTTGTTTAAAAACAAAAAGCAAAAAACAAAAGCCGTATTTCTGTATTATTAAGACTGATATTATGCAACCACATACTTGCGTGGCAAAAATAAGGTACTTTATAGCTTATACTCACAAATACTTATGTACAGATGAAGGTTTCGGTTAGTTAAAAAAAGATACTTTTAGCCTAGCTACTTAGGAGGCAGAAATCCAGGAGGATCCCAGTTCCAAGCCAGCCTGGCAAGTAGTTCTGTGAGACCCTATCTTGAAAAACCCTTCACAAAAAAGGGCTGGTGGGGTGGCTCAAGGTGTAGATCCTGAGTTTAAGTCCCGGTACACACACACAAAGATACTTTAAAGTAGCATAGTTACAAATCTTGTACAAATGAATGTTGGGGGTCAGTCATCAAAAAAAGATAACTTTAAGACACCTACAAATCCTTATGGCAGAACTGGACGCTGGGGCCTGTTCTGCTGCAGGTGGCAGAACTCACCTGTTTACATATGTCGGTTTGGTCGTCTGTTCCGAATGCACTGATGAGATCTTCCTTCTTTGCAACCTGACCTTTAGAAACATTTACAAACACTGAGTGGGTCTGCAGAACTTCATCAAGGTCTTTTTCCCTTGGGAGGGCAGGAAAGAAAGTCCTATGTGAACACACTTGCCCCTGGGAAATGCATTCACATTTAAATACGAGACGGCAATGACACTAATTGGCATCAGTGGCAAGAAACAACAAATCCTTCTCAATGACCCTGGGATCAGTTTCAAATCTCAGAACCACACTTGCATCCGTTTTCTCACTGGAGAATACCATCACGGGAGGGGAGCCAACAGTAGGTGGTGGGTGGGGCTGGTGCCACACCGGCCCCTAGATGGCGGCAGCGACGCCTCCACGCACTTCCCCTGCCACCACCGAGCCCTGATGACGTCAGATGTACTACGATTCTATTGGGGACTGCGCTCCGAGTCTTAATCATTTTGGAATAAAGACGGGTTTCTAGGCTGTAGCTTTTATGACACCAACAAAACAAAAACTCAAACCTGCAACCCAATCCAAACCAACCAAATATAACAAAAAATGGAAGCCCCGTCCTAATGCCGATCTCGGGAAGGACAGGACTTGTCACGCTTCCAGCAGGAGCCAGCTTCCCAGCTCCTTCCCACAGGGACGCCGCCTCGGAGGGCGGACACGAGCCCGGCCGGGGCCCGCGGGGCGGGGACACTCACACGCCACTCCGCCAGCCGACCACCTTGTTTTTGTAGCAGGCGATCTCGAAGCGCTTTCCACCGCGCTTCATGCGCACCACCGCCACATTGGTTAGGCGGATCTGGTTGGTTGGGGTGAAGATGGACATTGTGGCTGCTCACAGACCTCGGATCCAGGACTTAGGACAAGACCCGTATCGCTCAGGGCCACCAGTGCCTAACGACCCGGCGGCGCGCGGGTCAATAACGACCCCACACGGCGCGGAGTCGCGAAGAGCTCCGCTCGGCGACAGCCACAATGCGCCAGGCTGACTTATTGCGCAGGCGTTTGATGCCGGGCGGGGACCACCGAGCAACGACGCCTGCGCAGTGTGGATTTTACGACATCTTTCCGCGCCCTACAAGGGAGGTGCGGGACCTTGACGTAATATACTTCCGCGGGGGAGCTAAAGAGCGCTGACAGGCTGGTGTCTGGTTTTTAGAGCACGGGTGGAAACACACCCTTCCCGTTACACAGTTCCGAAGTGCTCAGGAACCACATTCACTTTTCCCTTATATTAAAGAAAAAAATTAAGAAAAGTAGTATAGAGCCGGGGCGTGGTGGTTCACGCCTGTAATCCTAGCTCCTGGGAGGTTGAGGCAGGAGGATCGCAAAGTTGGAGACCAGCCTGTACTGTATAGCCAGTCCCATGCCAGCCTGTGCTACATGGTGAAACTGTCTCAATGAACTAACAACAACAAAAAACCTGAAGAAAGTGTAATGAAGGCCCTGCTTCAATTATCAATACTTCCCCCCCCCCTTTTTTTTTTGGTGCTAGGGATCGAAATCAGGGCCTTGCACTTGCCAGGCAAGCGCTCTTCCACTGAGCTAAATCTCCAACCCCCCATTTTTGTTTAATTCCCTCCTTTTCATTTTTTTTTGTTGGAGTATTTCAATGCAAATCATCATATGATTTTAGACTTTTGAATAGTTCAGTATTTCCCTTGATCAGGTACTCTCAACTAGATTGACCACAATAACACAATATTATATAGTAGCCACTCCATATTTTAATTTCCCCTCCTAAATCATGCATGTTTACAGTGAGCCCTAGTTCCAGCTGAGATCCACACTGTACAATGGTACTACTCACTGTTGCCTAGTCTCATTAAATACTTCTCCCTTTCCTTTTTTTTCCCCATTCCACTTTTCTTGACAGTACTTCTCTCTAGACCCTCCCCTTTCCACGCTGAGCCAATCCAGGCGGAGCCGGAAATGCTCTCTTTGTCGCTTCGCGCTCTGGGTGGTGCTTCCCTCTGGTCCGCCGCTTTTCCCTCTAAACCAATCAGAGCAGCACCGGGAGAGCATTGGCCTCCTTTCCCCGAGTTCTAGGCGGTGCTTCTCTTTCGGCCCGCCCCCCTTCCCCTCTGAACCAATCCGAGCAGGATGGGGAGCGCTCCGTCATTTTCACCCACAGTTATGGACGGTGCTTCCTCTGGACCCGCCTTCCTCTCGCCTAAGCCAATCAGAGAAGGACTCTCTGAATTCTTTCCCACAGCTCAGGGCTTCCCTCTGGGCCCGCCCCTTTCCCCTCTGACCAATCCAGTGTCTCTGTGAGTGGCACGGCTTCCTCCAGGTCTGCGGAGTCGGGGCACAGCTCTGACTGAGGGGCGGGTCCGGCTGCCTCCGGGAGTCCGCGCCGGCCACTCGACCCTCCACGTGCACGTTCCTCGTTTCCCTGCAGCCTGCGGGGCTTGGGCGCTGAGGAGAATGGGTAAGCCCCTAGCTGGCCGGCGTCATCATGGCGCGGGAGGGGCGAAACGGTCTCCTTCCAGCCGCGGAGCTCGGTCCTACGGCCTTGTCACCGCGCGGCGGGGCGGAGGGGACAAGTCCCAGCCTTTGACCGGCTGGTGCCTTTCGAGGCTCGGGGGTGTGCTTACAAGGCAGCCGACTCTTCCCACGCCCCGTGAAAGGAAGAGAAATCTGCCCCTCACCCCCTGGCCCACGTGCGTGGGGACTTGCGGTTCTTTCGGTAGCACCTGCAAACCCCAAACTGCAGCCTTTCCCTTTTGAAATTGCTCGCCGGGTCAACACGTGAGGCCAGGCCCTTCGTATATATGAATCCCATATATGTGTATCCCTTCCTAAAGAGGCGCGAGGACGGGCGTGGTAGGGCGCACCTGTAATCCCGGGACTCGGAAGTCTGAGGCAGGAGGATCCTGAGTTCGAGGGCAGCCCAGGCAGCGTGGCGAGACACTGCCTCTAAAAAAAGACAGAAATTACAAATAGGAAAAAAGAGTTCCCTTTGCTGCTATTTTAGGTAATAAACCAAAATGAACTCGTAAGGCCACATGAAATGTTTTTCACTTTATGTTCCCTTACCTTGCTTCTGAATTTATAATTTTATGTTCTTATTTTTTGAATTACTATCATTATGATAATTCTTATCACATTATTTACCACGTTATTTTTAGGATTTTTTTTTGTTTGTTTAAAAAGATTTCTTACCTGGATTGTTAAATTGAATGGTTGGTTTTTAATTCTTTTTTGAGGAGGTGGTGTGGAGTTGAACTAGGCAGGCTCTACCACTTGAGTCACACTCCCCATTCTTCCCCTTTTTTTTTTTTTGCTTTACTTATTTATCAGGTAGGGTCTGGCATTTTTTTGCGGGGGCCTGCCTCAGGTCAGGAACCTTCTACCTAAGGTCTCTGGAGTAGATGGGATTACAGGCATGCACTACCATATTCAGCTAACTGATAGGGGCTCACTAACTTTTTGCCTAGGCTGGCCTCAAACTATGATCCTCCTGATCTCTGCCTCGTGGGCATCCGGGATTATAGATGTGAGCTGCCACACTCAGTCTTATTTTTTTAATTGTTTAATAAAGCAGGGATGGACATATGTATGTGTATATGTCACCTTGGGCAAAGTTACAGGTATGTGTTGTTTTAAATTTAGGTCCTCCGTTGGATGTGTGGGGCCTGTCCCCATCCTTATTTTCATGGTGGACAAACCGGTTTTACATTTATTCAGGGCTTGCTTTTGCCCTCAGCCTTTGGATTTGTCTCCAGATTATCTTTAAGAAGCAGGTAAGTCTTTCTTTGTTTTTAATAGGAGAGTTTTTAGGTATCAGATTTCATAGAGAATTTAGAGTAAAGATTTCTCAAGGTTTCAGAAAAATACAGAAAAGCTAATGGGGCTTTAAATCACTTTTGGGTTTGGTTTCTAGATTTAAAAAAAAAATTAGCATATGGTAGCTGTGCAGGGGGTTTCATTGCGACATTTACATATGTGCTTACAAGGTATCTTAATTAGATTAGCCCCTCCATCATTCTCCCTCATCCTCCCTCCCCTTCTTAGAACAATTTCAGCAGGTTTCATCGTTCTGTTTTTATACATGTATACAAAGTACATCTACCATATTCACTCTCATCCACCTTCTTTGTTTGCCCTCCCCCCTCCCACTGGTACACACCCCAAGACAGGACCTGTTTCACCCTCCTGTTCTTCATTGTGTTAAGTGTGCATAGGATCGTTCAAGGGGATTTCCCCTTAGTATTTCATACATATATGTTTTGTATTTTAGTCAGAGCAACCCCGTCTGTTACTGACTTTCTATCGCCCTGCTCCCGTTTTTGAGCAGGTTACAATGCGTTGTGTTAGGTTATCTTCATACACATGTGCAATGTATTTCAATACTTTTTACTTGCTCGCATTCTCTTTTCCTGCCAAAGTCCCCTTGTATAGACCCACTGTTACAATCGTTCACCCTGCACCGCCTCTCTCTCACTAAAACAATCTTTTCTCTCAGTTTTTAGAGAATAGGTCATAATGTTAGATAGAGAAGATTTTTGTAGTAGCAAATTAACCTTTTATAAGAAAAACGAAACTGTTTTGAACCTTTAAGGGGTAGTAGCCTTCTCGTTCCTTTCCACTAATTAAGGATCAGAAAATAAATTCCTACTGTTCTACTAAAACATGTTACCAGTGAAGGTATATACAGTAGGGTTTCCATATTCTGGGATTTTGCAGGATTCAGCCAAACATAGATCAAAAATACTTGGTGGGAAGGGAACCCAAACTTCTATACTGAACACATATAGGCTTTAGGATTTTTATAACACATTATATGAGGTATTAGGAGCAGATGATTTAAACTGTGTGAAAGGATATGCAAATACTGTGTCATTTTATATAAGGGATTTATAGCACTTGAGAAGCTGAGACAGCAACCTAGCCACATAGCAAGACCTTATCTTAAAAAAGAAAAAGAGAACTTGAGCATCCTTGGGTTTTGGTATTGGCATGTGTGAGTCCTGGAACCTGGAACCCGCCCACCTTGGACAGCTGGGAAGACTGTATGGCTTTCCTTGGAGGGAGCAGGGATCACAGTCTTAAGCCAAGTGGTTCTGTCTTTAAAGGACCTATTTGCTGAGAGGTTTCTATTTGGGGAGGTTAACCAGTGAGACTAAAAATAAGATGTCTGTATCTACTGATTTTCATCCCTATTGAAGTTGGAAAAAGATAAGACTTGATGTGATCATTTATCTTCAAGGCCAAGAACTCACAGGAGAATTCTACTCCAAAAGCAACTGAGGATTTGCTAACAAACGGCTATATCACCCTCCAGAAGAAGCAGATCTTTGTATCTGGGGTGAAGATTTTTTATGGCTCCCAGACTGGTACAGCCAAGGTGAGAACTCCATGTGATGCTTCTACTTTGGTTTCTGACAGTTAAGAACGTTCTTGAAGCGACACCGTTAACCCTGAACTGACTTATCCTTCTGATTTCTTTAGTTCCCTTTGCCTCCTTTTTCTTCGTGGGATGGCGGGCGGTGTGCGCTAGTCTGTTTCAAGAGATGTTCTGGAGCTTTCTGTGCCTCAGCGGGATGAGAGATTTCTGAGTCCATTATTGATGCTTGTGGGTAGAGGGTTAGAGGCAGTGAAAAGCGAGTGGCGCCAATAGCGACTTGGACAAGTCCACACATCTATGTAAGGAAACGTGTTTCGGTTTGTAATAGTGTTGCAGTGTTGAAGTGTCTAGCCGAAAGCTGCCTCCCTTCCTTCATTGTGTCCACACGCTGCCTGCCTCCTTGTTGTGAGGGACACAGCTGTTTAGTGCTTTCTAGGAAAGAGTAAGGCAGGCTAGTGTGAAAATGAATTCTAAAACACCAAGGTCTGTTGTTGGTGTGTACCCCTGAAGAGGCTGCTGCTGCCCTCTTGTGGATGTTGTGCAGAATTACACTTCTTAGGTTCTCGGTACTTTTCTCCACAGTGAATTTAAGCTCCACTGTAAGCACTCAAGGCCAGGAAACCTGCAGAAAGGCAGAAAGGTTCTTAGGAGCCAAAACAAAGTCCTTTCCATGCTGCTATGAAACACCTTATTCAGAGCCTCTTTATGTGTACTTAATGTTTTTATTTTATTTATTTTTTGTAGTGTTGGGGATTGAGCCCAGGGCCTTGTACATACTAGGCAAGTGCTCTAACATTAAGCTGCATCCCTAGCCCTTGTTTTTAAATTTTTCAAAAGATCAAACAAATCCTGGCACACCGAAGGTTCATTATGAAAGGTACTCGCCACAGAGCCTCTTTTACTATTTCTATTAATTAATTAATTAATCATTTTGGCAGTACCGCCGTTTGAACTCAGGGCTTCCTGCTTGCGAGGCAGGTGCTCTGCCACTGGTTATTTTTGAAAATGGGGTCTTGCTTTTTGGCTAGGTCAGCCAGGAATCACAGTCCTCCTGATCTCAGCCTCTCATGTAGCCTGGGGTGGCAGGGCATCCCAGTGAGCCCAGTTACGGGTTGAGATGGGGGTCTCCAACCTCAGTTCTCCCGATCTTCCCCTTGCAAGTAGCTAAGATTGCAGACGGAAGTCTTGCACCTGACTATTTCCGTTTTCAGTTACTCTGCTGGTTATTACTTTAAGCTGCTAGTGTTTCTAGATTTATCAATGGTAAGAAAATGTTACAGAATCCTTATACTTGTTTCTTTACACAGTCTTCAAACTTCAGGTTACTACTGCTGTCATGTGGTAGCTGATAGGGGTTGGGTTGCTGCGCCACCTGGTCATTCCTTCATTCTGCTTTCACATTTGATTCATTTGTATATGGCTACGTAGACAAGACGAGTCAAAACCTTTTCTTCTTGATGTTGAAGACATCTCAACAGTCTTTCCAGGGAAAAGCCGTGATTCCTGATGAGCAGGCAAATCCTGTGTTTCTCGTAGGTTGAACTGATCGCCTTTGAGTGGGTTTGAAACTCAGGGCCCTCATTTTTGGGTGGGGGGGAGGGCTATTGCAGGCCTCGCTACCCTTGAGCCACTCCCACCAGTCCCTATTCTTTCTTTCTTTCTGGTAATTTTTAGGGTCATGTGTGTCCCTGGTGTTTGGAAATTTTGTGAGTGGGCAGCTAGGTTGGATCCCTTTTCAGCCATCGTTGTGGATCCTTTTTGTTTTAAGGATTTGTGTGTGTCAATTCTGCTGAATTTCTGGGATAATGTTCATTTCCCTTTCTGTTTTCTGTCCTTCGTCGGAGGACTTTTAGTTGAGTATGGATGTTGGACCTTCTGAATGGTCTTCTGTGTCTCAAATCTTCTCTCAAGCTTTTCAGAACTTTTTTCCATCCTGTGGTCTTGGATGTCCATTCAAAATTTTTTTTGCGTGTCTTATTTCAGCTTATATATATTTTTTTTCATTTTTCTTTTATTATTCATATGTGCATACAAGGCTTGGTTCATTTCTCCCCCCTGCCCCCACCCCCTCCCTTACCACCCACTCCCCCCCTCCCCCTCCCCCCCCTCAATACCCAGCAGAACTATTTTGCCCTTATTTCTAATTTTGTTGTAGAGAGAGTATAAGCAATAATAGGAAGGAACAAGGGTTTTGCTGGTTGAGATAAGGATAGCTATACAGGGAGTTGACTCACATTGATTTCCTGTGCGTGGGTGTTACCTTCTAGGTTAATTCTTTTTGATCTACCTTTTCTCTAGTTCCTGGTCCCCTTTTCCTATTGGCCTCAGTTGCTTTAAGGTATCTGCTTTAGTTTCTCTGCGTTAAGGGCAACAAATGCTAGCTAGTTTTTTAGGTGTCTTACCTATCCTCACCCCTCCCTTGTGTGCTCTCGCTTTTATCATGTGCTCAAGTCCAATCCCTTGTGTTTTTGCCCTTGATCTAATGTCCACATATGAGGGAGAACATACGATTTTTGGTCTTTTGGGCCAGGCTAACCTCACTCAGAATGATGTTCTCCAATTCCATCCATTTACCAGCGAATGATAACATTTCGTTCTTCTTCATGGCTGCATAAATTCCATTGTGTATAGATACCACATTTTCTTAATCCATTCGTCAGTGGCTGGGGCATCTTGGCTGTTTCCATAACTTGGCTATTGTGAATAGTGCCGCAATAAACATGGGTGTGCAGGTGCCTCTGGAGTAACAGTCTTTTGGGTATATCCCAAGAGTGGTATTGCTGGATCAAATGGTAGATCGATGTCCAGCTTTTTAAGTAGCCCCAAATTTTTTTCAGAGTGGTTGTACTAGTTTACATTCCACCAACAGTGTAAGAGGGTTCCTTTTTCCCCGCATCCTCGCCAACACCTGTTGTTGGTGGTGTTGCTGATGATGGCTATTCTAACAGGGGTGAGGTGAATCTTTAGTGTGGTTTTAATTTGCATTTCCTCTTATTGCTAGAGATGGTGCAAGCTTATATGTTTTTATTGTAAAAATTCCTTTTCATTTTTTGCTTCAGGTTCTGTACTCATCATTCGACATCATGGTATAATAGATTATATTTCATTGAAATCATTTTTCTGATCATTGACTTACTGTTTTCTCAGTTTTTTCTGCTATGGGTTTTTTCTCCCTTTTTTGGCCTGTTTCTGTGTTCTTGGTGATCATAGTTTTCTGTTCATAGTTGGTGTGGATTTTCTCTGCTTGTAAACAATTCTCACTGAATTGCTTGGAGCGTGATTGGGCTGTCTAATTTCTCTTTCAGTGTTTGGTCCATGGCTTGACTGTCTCCAGTTTCTTTATTTTCCTGTTGTACATGGAGTCAACAGCTAGCTTCCTGTACCCATCCATGCTCCAGTTGGAACCTCCCTATGTGCTGTTACTTCTTCTTTAGGCACTTGGCATGATTAGCTACAACCCACTCCCTTTGTTACTGAAAGACTCTCCATTTAGCTTTTTATTATATCCTTTTCTTGGGCTTTGTCTGCTTTTCTAAGGCATAGTCTTGTGGTAATTTACTGGTTTCTCTTCACCATTTCTATAGTTTTTATTTTTGGTGCTGGAGCTCTGAAGGACCCTACACGCGTGTCTGCCTTCTGAGCCATACCCCCAGCCCTGTCATCTTCCTGACCTTCTTAAAAAGCTACGGAGAGTCTCAGTACTTACTCATTCTCTGTGGGATCATATTTTCTAGGGACTTTACAATTCTACTTAATCAGATCATAGGTATAGCAAGCCACTTCTAAAAGGGTTCAGCTGTCTTATATTTTAGTATTTGTATTTTAGTTTCCATGAGGCAATACTGATCTTTAGTTGTAGCCCTCTATAAAATCTCAGATTATGTAGTAACAGAGGGACACGATAGACATGAATAACAGATAGCATGACTTAATCTTTCATATGGAATGTCTGCTGAGCCTCTCAAAATCCAGGATGCATCAATTTCCTGACTTCTGCCGAAAACCCGCTCGTGTAATCCTTAACACTTTCAGATAAACAAGCAGCCTTATCCTCCCGCATTGCTTCCATTTAGTCTGGTCTTGCAGAATCCTGGTCTGCTCTGCTTTTACAATTACTTCCCTCCACCTCCACTGCGTGCCCCAGTTCCCAGCCCATCTCACATTGCTCTTTGATTTCCGTGCTACCTTAGGCCGCCCGACTCCAGTGTGCTTTTCGATTCAGTGGACTCTTTGGAACATAGGTGAACTGTTGACCGTCCTTCTTCCAAAACTCTGCAAATACACCCCTCACTCACTCAGAGCAAGAGGCCAAGGTCCAGGCCCGTGGCAAGAGCCCTATTGAATGTGCTGTTCGTTCACTCCTTCTTGGCTTCTTGTTTTCTCCGGTTCCAGCCTTCTTCCTCATTGCCAAGCAGCTCCCTCTTTTGGTCTGAAAATGTCCCCTTGCCTGGGTAACTTCATGTCTCCTCCCCTCACTTCCGTCTGGGTTTAGGCTCAAATGCTAACTTTGATGTCGGTTTCTGACCCCAAAACTTCTTGTCCTTTTCCCACACCCCTCTTCCGTCTGGACTGGTTAGCCAATCAGAGTTAGCAGATCTTGTCCACAGATAGTCCCAAGCTCAGTTTACTGCAGCCTGCTGTCAGGCTTCAAACCAAATTGACAGAATCAATTCACGGAACTTCGCCAGTTTATTACAAGGAATACAAACTCCAGGAACAGCTCAAAGGGCAGGATGCAGAGGCAAAGTGTGGAGGGGGGTGTGTGTGTTGACTGTTGGTTTGTGTGACTTGTGTGTGTGTGAGAGTGGCATGTCACCAGATTATATTGTGTGTTTGATTCCACACATGTCTGGTGAGTTTACCCATCTGGAAGGGGCTTCTCAACTCTGTTGTGTTAGGTTTTTCCTAGTCATTACCTAGTTCATGATTGTATTATGTCTTGGTCATTTGTGAGTGGAGATTCTAGGTCCTGGGGTTGCTCCTTTTCTTGGATCCTGCCAGCCTCCATTCTGAGCCCCACCCCACTATGAAGGAACCTCCATTAGCATACAGGAGATAGTAAGTTGCAAGGGTGGTTAGGAGTTTGTTGCTGGGTGACTACAGACCAACATTATTACTTTGAAATGTACACTCCGCCCTCCCTTCCTTATGTTAAACTGTCAGCATCTTTCCCTACCCCAGTTCCATGGCTTTTATCCCTTTGTATCTTGGTCTATTCTTTGTCTATAGTTCTTGAAAACTGTTTGATATGTTCTGTTTTCCATGTCTTGTTTATTCTGTCTGTTAACTGTGAGAGCCTCTTGAAGGGCAGGGAGTCTCTGTGTCTGTTCATTGTTGTTTGTAAACATTGCCAGAACTGAGGGCTGCATTTGTGGAGTCTTTAGTTAAAACATTCAATTTTTGCTAATGGTTTTGGCAGTAAGGGGGCGAATGATTGCTACCAAGCAAAAAAAGAGGAAGGTGTTTTCCTGGGGTGCTGACATCTGTTTTAGGAAGTTTTCCATTTTCCCAAACATTGGTCAATGTGTTTGGAGAAGCACTGGCATGCACTTTTGTGTGTGTTTCATTATTCAATTTACAGAATGAGTCACTAATTGGCTCCTTTGCTTGCTCCTGTCTTCTGTGGTGGTTCCCCCTCCCACCCCCAAAGTCCCCACCCCGCCAAGTCCCTCTGGGTTTCTGTCAGGATTGAACTCCCCTCCAGGGCTTTTCTCCTGCCTGTTCACCTAGGCTTCTGTATTGCATTATTCCCATTCTCCTCCCTCCTCCCTGTTTCTTTTTCGTACTTCTGTATGTTTGAATTTCCTTGTGGAGCAGCAGAGCAGTGGGCAGGTAAAAGTCCAGTGTGATTTAGTCCTCTAGATGGAGAAAAACGCTAACTAATACTGCTCTCTTCACTGGTTGTTTGAGGGATCCCCGTGTCATGATGTGGTAAATGTTTCAGACTTCGAGTCACTGGAGAGGGTTCTGAATAGGAAAATACTGTACTGCCTGCCAACAGGTAGATGAGGGGCTGATATTTTGCCTTATTTGGCTCATCAAAGACCATATTTATTTTTTCTTATCAGGGGATGCCAAACAATTCTATGCCAAAGAAGTTACTTCCCTAGACTTGCCTGTCACAGTTATTAATCTGAAAGAATATGACCCAGTATGATCATCTGGGTGAAGAGGTTGGTGTGTATTGTCTTTTTTTTTTTTCTTTTTTTTATAACTTTAATCAAACTCAAATTTAGGGCTGGAGTGATGGCATACTCTTATAATCCCAGCACTTTGGGAGGCACGAAAGGCAGGAGGATATGGAGAGCTTGCGATCAGCCTATGTGCAGATGCTGTTCAAAAATTACCAAAACAACCAAAAACTAAACCAACAAACCAAAAAACCTCCTCAAAATTAATGGACCTGCTGGATGTCTGGGAGGTAAATAGAAGCTTCAGAATAAATAGTTTTCACGCTACTGGTTATCTCAGCTAGCTGAGTTTTCAGTGTGACTCGAAGTGTCTGAAATGAGGTGTCCACAGGTGGGCCTGCTTCCTCTGATGTAGTTAGTCTCCTGGGATGGAGGCAGGGCTGGACAGCCATCATTGGGGGGACTTGGAGTTCCCTCCCCTTTGTACTTTTAAAACTCTCAATAAGCAAGGAGGGTTGGCGGAGGGCCTGGGCCATGCAGTGGGGATCACGGGTAAGCCAGCACAGGGTCGAGAGCACAGAGCCACAGAGCACGGGGTCTGCAGCTGGAAGATTGCTCAGCCCCAGTGTGACCTCCGTTGAAATCGTTTAGATCTGTGAGGGTTTGAATTTCTCCAATGGTACACGTTCCCCTCCTTCAGCTGTTTGCCCAGTGAGGAAAGCTTTGGCTATATAGTAGTTGGTTCCCAGTGTGGCCCTTTGAACCAGCAGTGCCCAACACCGCCGTGAAGCTGTTCTCAGCTTCACCAGCGCAAGTGCTCCTTTGCAGTTCTGTACTAGCCATGGAGAAGCAGTAGATTGGGAGTCAGCTAACCTGTACTTAAAGGGCCAGCGTAATATAGATCCTTTAGTGTTTGTGCCATGTAGCTACTATTGGGCACAAAACCAAGCATAGACAGTATGTATAAACAAAACACACATTGCATGGTCGTATCCAGTTAAACACTTCATGTTGAAAAAAGCAAGCAGTAAAAGGCGGGTGTAGCGGTACTAATGATGGTGGGAGAATTGCTTGAGCCCAGGATTCAAGGCCCAGTCTTGGCAACACCTGGCTCAAAAACAAGGCAGGAGACAGTTATTCGCCCCATGGGCTGTTAGTTTGCCAGCCCCTTCTTAGTGGCCCAAATGTCTAGGGTGACTCCTGCTCTATTTCTCTCCCCTGCAAGAAAACATTCTATAGACGATGAGTGGGCTGCAGTCTACGATAAATTACAGCACACTTTGATGCACTGAATTATGAGATAAAGAGTGTGTGATCCAGTATGCACTTTTACCTCATGATGTTAGAAGTGATGAAGATTTCAAATAACTAGGGTAGCAGGACTTTGAGGGTGTCTTTTTACCTTCCCTAAAGTAGATGATCAGTGTTGAAAGTGTTGATTTACAATACTTAGGACTTTTTTTTGGTCAGTACTGAGGCTATGAACTCAGGCCTCACACTTGCTAGCAGGTGCTCTTACCACCTTGAGGCCACTCTGCCAGGCCTTTCTCTCATGTTTTTTTGAAGATGGGTCTCACTTTATGCCTGGGCTGAGGCCTGACCAGATGTCCTCCATTTATGTTTTCCCCATGTAATCCGGAAATAACAGGGTTAAGACCTCCCGTTGACAGGTGTGAACACTTAGGCCCAGCTAATTGGTTAGATGGGGGTTCTCACGACATTTGCCCCAGACTGCCTTAAAACAGGGGATCCTCCTACTTCTGTCTCGGAGTAGCAAGGGTTATAGGCCTGAACACTGTGCCCAGCTATTTAAACTTTTTTTGGTGCTGATAATCAAAACTTTCAAGGGGCCTTGTGAATGCTAAGCAACATTCTACCACTTAATTATCCTCCTAGCCCTACATTTAAAAGTTTTATTGCATTTACATTTTAAGTAATTTTTTGTTTTGGTTTTTGGTAGTACTGGGCTTTGAAACTCAGCTTCACCCTTGTCAGGCAATGCACTCTACCATTGAGCCATGGCCCCAGCCCCTTTTGCTTTCATTAATTTCCCAATAGCGTCTTGTGTTTTTGCCAGGACCAGCCTGGACCCATGATCTTATATTCTTACCTCCCACCACAGGCATGGGATGACAGTCCATGACACCATGTCCAGCTTTTTATTCGTTTCAATATGTAGGGTCTTGCTCTATTTTGCCCAGGCTGGCCTGAACTGTAATTCTGTCCATCTGTACCTCCCAAATTTATAGGATGATGCAATATGTCTGCAAGTTACTATTTTTTTTTTTCTTTGTGGTGCTAGCGGATGGAATTGTTAAGGCCTTGGGCTTTGCTAGGCAAGCAGTCACCAACTGAGCCACATCCATGGCCCTCAAAGTAACTTTATGGGGCCTTATTCTTGTATTTTTTTCCTGACTGCAGATTTGTATTTCTGAATATTGACAGAATAGACAGGGTAGAATTTATATGTTTGTTTAGTGCGTGGGAAGGCTATTCAGGAGAGATTCTGGCATGAGGAGAGGCTGGGTTTCTTCTCTGTGCAAGGTGTCCCTGCCGGGATTTTTTTGTTTTTTTCCCAGAGCTATTGTGCGTGCAAAGGCAGGGGGGCTCTTTTTATTTATTTGTTATGGTACCTCCCAAATTATAGGTATGCCATATGTCTGCAAGTTACTATTTTTTTTTCTTGTGGTGTAGGGATGGAATTTAAGGCCTTGGCTTGCTAGGCAAGCAGTCACCACTGAGCCACATCCATGGCCCTCAAGTAACTTTATGGGGGACTTTTCTGTATTTTTTTCCTGACTAGGATTTGTATTTCTGATATGACAGAATAGACAGGGTAGGATTTATAGTTTGGAGTGCGTGGAAGCTATCAGGAGAGATTCTGGCAGAAGAGAGCTGGGTTTTCTTCTCGTGCAAGGTGTCCCTGCCGGATTTTTGTTTTTTTCCCAGAGCTTTGTGCTTGCAAGGCAGGGGCTCTTTTTATTTATTTGTTTATGTGTTTCATTTATTTCTTTCTTTTTCTTCTTTTTTTGGTGGGACTGGGGTTTGAGCTCAGGACTTTGTGATTGCAAAGCAGGTGTTCACTAGACTGAGCCACACCTCCAGTTCTTGCTGTGGTTATTTTGGAGATGGATCTCTGGAACTATTTGCTTGGGCTGACCTTGAACAACAGCCCATTCTGAGCCTCACAAGTGGCTAGGATTAAGGGGTAGCTACTGGCCACCCAAGCTTCTGTTGGTATTTTTGAATGGGATCTTACTTTATGTCCTGGCTTGCCTGGACTTGATCCTCCTATTTTTGTTTCCCTGAGTAGCTGGGATGTGTGGCCTGTGCCACAATGTCCAGCCCTTGCTGAGGGGGGGTCTCACTACTTTTACCAGGGCTGGCTTTGAAACCTAGTCCTTTTGATCTTCTGACTCCCAAGTACTGGAATTATAGGTATGAGCTATCACACCTGGCTTTTCTTTATGGGTAATGTTTATGAAATTGCCCTTTGTCCTTAGAGATTAGTAAAGGGTTTTCTTCATTGAGATTGTTGATATCTTGAGTATTCTTATAATATTTTCTGTATAATAACCTTCTGTAACAAATCTTTCTCCATTAGGTCACTAGTAAAAGTGTGTGTGCTTTTTCTGGTTGCCACATATACTGATGGCCGACCAACTGATGAGTGCAGAGTGGTTTTGCAAATGGCTAGAGGAGGCAGCCAGCGATTTTCGATTTGGCAAAACCTACCTGAAAGGCATGAGATATGCAGTGTTTGGCCTGGGGAATTCTGCCTATTCAAACCACTTCAACAAGGTACGTGTATGTTAAGTTACAGGGATAAAGTCTCCTTTAACTAGAAAACCAAAGCAGGACCTCACACGAATCTATGTGAAATAACTCCAAAGCTTGCTTCTTAATGGCTTTCTCGTGATAGACACCTGAAGCTATGTCTTGCAGTCCTTGTGTTATTCTTTGTTATACTTTGTCTTTTTTTTAAATATTGTGCTGGGTGGGAGGTACATTGTAGCATTTACAGGTTCTTACAATGTATCAATGTATGGAACTTGAACTTCTCCTCCAACTCCTCTCCTTCATCCTGCCTCACCTGATCCCTGGAATAGTTTCAACAGGTATCATTTTTGCATTTGCATAACATGTGTATACATTATTTTGCACTGTATTCATCCCTCCTACCCCTTTCCCCACCACTCCACCTCCCACCTTGTGTTATTCTTTATAGCTATACATATGTAGTGGAGCTTAGTGTACAACAGCTCTCAATGAATTTTTTGTTGGCTACCAGTGCTGAATGTGTGCCTCGTGTTGTTGGTGTCTGGGGGTGACTCATGGTGGTCAAGTTCAGCCTCCCGTCCCCAGGAGGAACTTGAGATCGCTGAGTCTTTGGACTTTCTCAGACTGCCTTTTCTGTTGCTGAACAACTTTTTACGTCCAAACTAACACTTTAAATAGGTGAACTCATTTCTTTGAATCATTAATTTTGGAGGGAAATAGGAAAAAAATTCGCTTCAGTTATAAAAAACCTTTACTTTTTTTGTTTTTTCATGAGTCTTTTTTTCTAAATGAATCAACATTATTCGTTTTCTTTTGCAAGCCTGTTCTCTATACTTTAAAAAAATAAAACGAGCAAGTTATGGTGTACATGCCTGTAATCCAGTATTGGGAAGTTTGAATCAGGATATGAATTCCAGTCTAGGGCTACACTGCCAAAAGCAGTGTCTCAGAAAAGAAGAAAAACATTACAGTCTATTAAAATGTGGCCCTTTTGCGCTCGCGAGCTGGAACGCACTGTTTGTGGCATTCGCTCTTCCCTCCTCCACCGACCCCTGACCAGCTCAGAGTAGTGTTAGGCCTTTGCAGAGCTGTCTAAACACTCGATTTAGGCAGTCCGGGTTTGTTTAAGCTCATCTATCTCTTTTTCTTATTTTTGGTGGGCTGGGTTTGAACTCAGAGTTCTTGCACTTGCAAGTAAGTGCTCTCCACTTGACCATGCTCCCAGGCGTTTTTGTTACTTAGTTATTTTTTCTCAGGTAGTGTTGGTCTTTTGCCCGGGTGTGCCTGGACTGTAATCTCCTACCTCTGCTTCCTGCACAGCGGGATGACAGGCTATTGGTTGAGCTGGGTCTTACTAACTTTTGCCTGGGCTGGCGTTGAACTGCGATCCTCCCATCTTCATCTCTGGATTACAGCGTGTACCATTTGCCTGGCTCATCTATCTCTTTTTTCCTGCAGGTTGGCAAAACGTTGACAAGTGGCTTGGATGTCGGTGCTCACCGTGTGCTCACTCGAGGGCGAGGGTGATGGTGATGTGGTCAAAAGCAAGCACGGCAGCATTGAGGCTGACTTCCGAGTTGGGAGACCAAGTTCTCTCCAGGTGCAGGCTCTTCGTAAAGAGAGAAAAAGGTCTTGCAGTGGCAAGTGCACAGAAAGCAAGTGCAGAGTCAAGCAGCAGGGCTCGGAGGGCACGTGAGGCCAGGGCCTCCCTCAAAGAGGAACGCGGCACAGAGTGTGGAGGTATGGCCCCATGTGTGTACTCCCATTTCTTCCCCTCTGCCTTCAGAAAGCCTTCCTCCCTCCCTCCCTCGCTCTTTCCTTTTTTTTTTTTTTTTTTTTTTTTTGTGTACTAGGTTTGAACTCGGCCTTCACCTTGAACCCACTCCACCAGCCCTTTTTTGTGAAAGTTTTTTTTGAGATAGGGCTCGTGAACTATTTGCCCAGGGCTGGCTTTGAACCTCGATTCCTCCTGTTTCTCTGCCTCCTGAGAGTAGCTAGGATTATAGGTGTGAGCCATTGCGCCCGGCTTTTTTTGACTTTTGTGCATGGTCTTCTTGTGTAGTACAAGCTGGCCTGGAGTCAAGATGCTCTCTCAGTCTCCCCAAATTGGGAATTACAGGTGTACAGCACACCTCCCCCTCACTCTTCCTCTTGGAGAAAGCATTGATGGCTTCTGGTTAGGAAGGCAGATGTGAAACTCCTGTGCTGCTACGGTTCAGAGTGCAGCTTGGAGTTGAGAGACATATTGTACAAGACGCTTTCTTCTGTTCTCTTCTTGAATTGCTGGACTCGGGGTATTTTTACCACCCTGTCGCAGGTTAAGAAAACAGAGGCTCAGAGAAGCCAAATGTGTCCCCACCGAGGACATACCTTATCATTGATCACATTCCTTTTGACCTACATGATTGTATTCTCCTCAAGCCCAAGGCTGCGAGTCATCCTACATTCCTCTGTTCTTCCCTGCACCCTGGAGGTTTTTTTTCCATCGTTCTTCAGACACCTCGTGCTTGTGAAAACTCATTTCTCCAGGCTCCATCACTGCACCTCTAGCTAGTCACCTATGTCATCTAGGAGAAGTTTTTAAATCTGTCTCATCTCTCCTCCTTTGCACCTTTCATCATTCTCATGGCTAAGCATCCCCGTAAGCTATCTTATCTGGCTCCCTGGTTTGTCAGCTCCTGACTGACATCTCCCTGGCTCCATACCTCTAGCAGGCATTTTTTGTCACTAACCTTGGTCCTTCCTTTCCACAGTTAACTCTGAAATTCACCTTTCTGTGACTCCTCCTTTGACCTCATTCTGGGACCCTAACTTTAGTGTTCTGTTGATCTCACTGGGACTCTTCCCCTTTTACAGATAGTGGAAGTCACTTACTCACTTCCCTCCTTGAGCTGGGCTAGAATTTTATAAACACTTCAGTTCCTGGCCTTCATTCTCTTTCTAACCCGCTGGCAAGGCCTCAGCCAGGTTGAAAGCTTACTGCGTTTTCCCCTAGCCCCCACAGACTCAGGACCATTCAGGTCCCATGTCCCTTTCCTCCAGGGCTGGTCTGTTTCATATCTTCTTCATCCCTTCCTCTCCATCTCATCTTAGCTATTAAAGGGAGCTCTGATGATCTCTCCACCCATCTCCAAGTCTTCCGGCTTTCCTGTCTCAGAAGGCAGAGTGTCTGCTTCCTGTCTGTGAACTCTGTCACACAGGGCTCCGTTTCTTTGTTGTTGTGTCTCTCTGTCCTGTAGCACTAACCTCTTTGCTCACTCTCCCGTAAATAATCAAGTGTGTTCTGGGCCACTCATGTTTGAACGAACACAAACAGCAACGAAAATCCTTCCTCTATTCTGTTTTTATTCATCTTTCCAGCCAGTCTTTTTGTTTAAATTCGCTTTATTAGCTCTTAATACTTAAAAACCATTTTTTATTTAGTAAAAATTATATAAATGTGAAATCAGTTTTAAGCATGCAGCACAGTGGTATTTAGTACTTTCATAGTTTTGCACATCTACCACCCCTGTCAAATTCCAGAACCTTGTCACTATCTAGGAAGAAAAGTAGTCACTCCCTGCTCCCTTCCCCAACTGGTCAACCCCAACTTCCTTTCTCTTTCTGTGGATTTATAAGTTCTGATATACAACAATACATTCTTTTGCTCTGGCTTCTTTCACTTAGTTTTCAAGGTTCCTCTGTGTGGCTTGTGGCCATTCTTCAACCCTTTTTATGCCTGAGTAATAGTCTGTGGTGTGGATATACTGTGTCTTATTGATCCATTGATCTTAGAGACATTTTGGTTGTTTCTACCTTTTGACTATAATGGATATGCTACTATAAGCTTTGGTGTGTACCAGTGTTTGAGTGTCTTTTTCAGTTCTTTTGGTACACACATGTTGACTGTTACTAGTTAGCATGTGGTAATTCTGTGTTTACTTTTTGCAGAACTGCTCCAATTTACCATTGCAGCCTGTACCCATTTTACATTTCAGTAGCAGTGTATGAGGGTTCAGTTTCTCCACATGCCATCCAACACTTGTTAGTTTTCATTCTTTTTTTTTTTTTTGTCTTTGTCTTTTTTTGAGACAGGGTCTTGTTATGTAGCTCAAGCTGGCCTCAAACTTGTAATCCTCCTGCCTTTTATCCCAAGTGCTGGGATTGCACCCTCCTTTATTGTATGTCCAAGTGCTGGGATTGCACCCTCCTTTATTGTATGTATTTCTCCTTCTCTTTTTCCTGGTGTTGCAGATGAACCCAGGGCCTTGTATGTTCTAGGCAAGCTGTCACTGCTCTCTTTTGGTTACTATTTGCTTTGAATTTTTTTTTTTTCCTCAAACTTTTTGGGTTTTTGGATCTAAAGTGAGTTTCTTTCACATAGCATGTATATATATGTGTGTATATATCTATATCTATATCTATATCTGTGTCTATATCTATCTATATCTATATAAATCCCCCCCTCCCATGCCTGTTTCTGTTTTTTTTTTTGGTGGTACTGGGGTTTGAACTCAGGGCCACATGCTTCCTAGCAGGTGCTCTAGCTCTACCACTTGAGCCACTCTACCAGCCCTATTTTGGTGTTGAGTTTTTTTTTTTTTTTTTTTTTGTGGTTCTGGGGCTTCAACTCAGGACCTGCACCTTGAGCCGTTCCACCAGTCCTTTTTTGTGTTGGGTATTTTCAAGATAGGGTCTTGTGAACTATTTCCCTGGACTGGTTTTGAACTACAATCCTCCTGATCTCTGCCTCCTGAAAAGCTAGGATTACAGGTGTGCGCCACTGGCACTCAACTCTAGTTCCACCTTTTAAATGGAGAGTTTAATTCATTTCACTTCTGCCACTTTACTATGTTTTCTGTTTGTCTTACATCTTTTGTCCCTCAGTCTGTCCATCGGTGTCTTCATTTGTGTTGAAGTTGAAGTGATTTCTTTGGTGTGCCATTTTGATTCTTTCTTAGAGTTTGCTGAGGTTTTTGGATGTGTAGATTTATGTCTTTTTTCAAGTTTGGGATGTTTTCAGCCTATTCATATATTCTTTGTGTTTCCACTCTCATTCCTCCTGGGACTCCTGTATGTGTCTGCTTGTGTTCTTGTGGTTCCTGAGGTGTCTAGGCTATGTTCCTTGTTCAGATGGATACATTTCTGCAGCCATCTTGACCTCGGCTTATTGTCCTGTCTGCTCAGCTCTGCTCATTGAAGCTTCCAATGAGTCTCCACTTTAGCGATTGTCCTTCTCAGCTCAAGAATTCCTTCATGTTTCCTCTGAACCCTCCCATGTCTGTGTTAGTGTTCTCTGTTTGTCGAGAGCTTGTCCTCTGTTTCTTTTAGCTCTTTGAGCATTTTTAAGACCATGGACCTATGTCTTTATCTAATGAAGCCCACCGTCTGCTTCCTCAGGGACAGTGTCTCAGTCTGTTCTGTGTTGCTGTAGCAGAGTACTTGAGACTGGGAAACTTACTAAGAAGAGAAGTTTATTCTCCTCCAGTTCTGGAGGCCAGGGAGTCTAAGATGGAGCAGGTATCTGGTGTCTAATGAGGGCCTTCTTGCTGCTCCTCGAATGGCGGAAGGGGGAGAGAGAGCAAACCTGTTTTCACAGCTCTTACTACAGAGGCCTAAACACTTCCCAACCCTGTTGGCTAAGGATGAACTTTTTTACAAATGAATTTTGGAGGGGAGAATTCAAACTGTAGCAGACAGTTTCTGCTGACATACCCTGAGAGCGGACCGTAAGTGTTCTTTTTCTGTGTATTTCCTGTTTGTTGAAAAGTGGACATTTTGAATGCTATGATGTATTAGCTGTGGAAGTCAGACTCTTTCCTCCTTCAGGTTTGTTTTTATAAGTTTTTTTTTTTTTTTTGCAGGACTGAGGCTTGAACTCAGGGCTTCGTGCTTGCAAAGCAGGCGTTCTACTGCATGAGTCACGCCTCCAGTCCATTTTGCTCTGGTTATTTTGGAGATGGGGGTCTCACAAACTATCTGCCCATGCTGCTTCCAACTGTGATCTCCTGATCTCATCCTCACAAGTAGTTAGGATTACAGGCATGAGCCACTGGTGCCAGCTTGTTTTTATACTTTATTTCAACTGTACACAAAGGATGCAGCCTTTGGGGTGCAGCTTTTGGCTCTGGTCTCTGTTAGATCTCGATCTTTTATCATAATTCTAGGAAATAAGTGCATTAGGAGAGTCTGATAGACTTGTACACACTGGTTGGGAACACTGGCGTGGAAGAGCTAATGTCGTTAGGAAGCATGCTCAAGTGGCTTTCTGGTGTTCTTGGGAGCTGAGCAAGAACTGGGAGATGAGAGGCGGGGGTTGGCTGCAAGACATTTTTCTGTTGAACTGGGCTGAGTTGAAGAACACCTCCATACACCTGATTCCAAAACAGGTGATAGCCAAGGTCTGCTCTCACAGCCAGGGTAGGTTCTGGGACATGTCCTTGTTGTACACACACCACTGAGTGTCCTTATCCAGTCTGAGATGGCACCTCCAGAAAATGCATTCTCATGGGACAGTCATCGTGTCTGTGGTCCATCATTGACCACAGTGTCCTTTTGTGGCACATGGCTATATTTTGATATCTTAAAAACAAGGCAAAGAAGACTACCTGTATATTGACAAAAGGTATACCAAATGGGCCCACATCTGTCAGGTCAGGCGTGGTCCAGGTAGTAATGTCACCTGGGAAAAGATAGGGAGTAACCTTGAGGAGGAACTGTTTTATTTCGTATTGAGTGCTTTTATTTTGCTGCTCACCCTCTGATGTCATTGTGTCTCTCTGCTGGACTCTGGGCTGTGTTGGCACTCAGGAAGGAAGGTTAGTGACCTCTTGTTTCTTTTAACTTTAACATGACCCTGAATCACTGAAATTTTCTGTTTAAAAAAACTACTTCATTTCTTAAAAATCCAGCTATCCTTTGCTTCTGCCTTAGCTTCTCACTGGTGAAAGGATGTGGAGGTGTGGAATAGGCCTGCCCTGCCATTTACTGACTAGCTATGGTTTTGTAACTTTTCTGCCCCTAATTTCCTCATCTGTGAAATGGTGCTGGATACAGCTACATTTTAAGTATTGCAGATGAAGTGAGTGAATATTGGGAGAACTCTTATGTGCTGGGCTCAACACATGCTTTTTCATATGACGTCACGTTTCCTCTTCTCTTTCTGTCTTTCTTTCTTTCTTTGCCGTTCTGGGGATGGAAACTGGGGCCTCATATGTGAGGCAAGCACTCCATCACTGAGCCACACCCCAATCTATCTCTTCCCTCTCTTCCTGCTCAGCATGCCTTCTTCCCTGAGCGCTGTTCACACCATTGCCAGTGGGAGTTCAGGAGAGTGTTAGTTGTTTTCATTTGTGAGGCCCTTGCACGGTGATTAGTTAAGTGCAAAGACTAACATGGACTGGTGGAGTGGCTCAAGTGGTAGAGTGCCTGCCTAGCAAGCGTGAGGCCCTGAGTTCAAACCCCACTACCAACACCAAAAAAATACAGGGTAAAAAACCCCCAAGAAACAAAAATCTAACATGGCATGCCTTTTCAATTAAAGATCTTAGGATTGTGAGCTCTCTGTGTGGGAGGAGTGCAAGACAATTTCTTTGCTGCTCAGAACACTTATTTCTAAGCCTTTGCTTTCCAGGAGGAAGAGCCCTGCGGGAGCACCAGTGAGGAGGAGCTTGGTGGTGACAACTCCGAGAGGCCCAGTTCTGTTGTTGATGTTGAAGATCTTGGCAAGATTATGAATCACATGAAGAAAGAAAAGGTACCAGCATTTGGGGAAGTACTGAATTGGATCCTGCTTTTGGGTGACCTTTAGTGGTCCATTGCAGTGTGGCCCATCTGAGCTGACAATAAGACAGTTTAATTTCTCTAGCTCCTCTTGAAAGTTTTATTATCCAGTTCTTTATTTATTTTTGCTATACTTATGTGAGCATTGTCAGTTTCTTCCCTCTCAGCACTGTGAAAATAGGCTCAAGGGGGATGAGCAGATTTTAGGGTAAGGATGAGGAGAGGGTAGGTGGTCTGAGTGATTTCATTCAGGGCTATGTGAGGATGACCAGCATGCTAGGACTTATTAATTACGGTTTTAAGAGGAGCTGTGCTGTAAGTTTGCTTCCTTTGTGTGTAGAGTGGGTGGCATTGGCCCTGGCGCTGGCCACCTGGCCTGTGGTGTTGGGATGAGCATGGTGGGGCCTAGGAGGCCAGGAAATACTGGTCCAGATCATGATTGTTTCAGTGATTAAAGGAGTGTGAGATTGTGCAGGCAGCAGGATTTTTACATAGTTCAGAGATCTAAAACTAAAACAGTATATATTATAATATAAAAATATAAAGTCTCAATGTACGTGTGAACTTTGGAAAATGGGAATTCTGTCAAGTAAAAAATAAGTCAAGTCCATAGCCTTGGAACAACAAAGAAGTAAAAGTTGGCACATAAGAGAAAATCAATGGTAAATCCTACCCAAATTCAAATGAAAGAATTCAGTGAGGAGATAGTCCTTTGTAACATCGTTTCCAGTTTAATTCCAAGGTGAAACTTTCCCTCTGTTATTTGCTTTCTGAGCTGCTTGTCATCTGCTGCTGTGGATGTTTAGTTTGTAGAGTGGATAAGGGAGGCAGGAAAGTTCTGTTCTGATGGCCACTGTAATGAGATGACTTGGTAAGGTTGACTATTTTCACGAAGCATTTCATGGTTTCTTTGGAGACATTTTCCATAGCTGTCTCCTGGCTGTACCTTGTTTTGAGCAAAACATACCCTGAGAAGCGTAGTTCTGATGGTCCCTCACTCCCTCCTTTCCCTGAACCTCTGCCTTCCTTTGCCTGTTATCTTGAGTTGTCCGTGGGTCAGGATCCAACCTCATCGTCGTCCATTGAGGGCACACTCCTGAGTTCTTCACTTTGGAGAGACTGGCCGGGGCTCCTGAAGCAACTATCCAGTCCTTTTGCTTCTGAATTTCCTGGGCAGGAGTCATGCATCACTCTGTGGTGCTCTCTGAGTGCAGTGGATGGCCCACTCTGTGAGGACCCTGTTGGCACCCCTCTCATGGGAGTGGTGCTGTAGGTGAGAGGCAGCCACCTTTTCTAAACCACTCAGTCCCTCACCGGCATTCTCCTAGCAAGCCCAAAGAACTCTTTTCCCTTCCCTTTCATAACCTTGACAAGGTGGAGAAATTTTCAAAGGCGACATTTCTTTTGCAGATTTACAGCTTGATCTCTGTAGCTTCATTTACTACCCCGTTTATATCCGTTAAAAACTGTCACATGACATCCTCCTTCCTTCATGCATCTTTCATCCTCTCTTCAAATGGTCACAGTTTGCAGTTGATGCATTCCATGTGTCTTACAACCTTTACAAACACACTTTACCCAGGTCTGATTTTGGGTTTTTGTCACACATGGCATCATTTTGTACTCCTGGTGTGTAGACTTTAAATTTTTTTTTCATTATCATGATACCTTTCCAGCCCTCTCATCTAGATTAATTCTTTTAAAGGTTTGGTGGTCCACAGTTACATCCTGTAATGTAATTGGCTCCTGTTGATAAGCTTTTAGCTTTCTCTCTTTTTTTTTTCTTCAGTAATAGGGGTTGAACTCAGTGCTTCCCTCTACTAGTTGAGTCACACCCCTAGTCCAGTGTGTTTCTAATTTCCATAATGAACACTTTTACTCATATTTTTTGTGGCTGGTATAAATTTTTCTGAAGAGTAAATTCCTAGAATTGAAAAATTTAAATCTAAAAGGGAATTTTGTAGTTTTGATATTTCCAAACTGCCGTGTAAAATGTTGAAAGTAAATTTCACTTCTGCTTCCAGTATAAAACAGAGGGGAATGCCTATTTCTGTATATCCAGGTGTTATCAGTCTTTTCAACTGCCAATCTGGAAGATGAAAAATAACTTCAAGACTCTGTCTCTAAAATAGGGGGGAAGAAAAAAGATGAGTATCTGAAACATGAGTTCAAGATATGGCCCAGCCACTGTGACTTGGTGATCTAACCTTCTCTAGTCTTTATCCCTGTGTCTGAGAAGCATGGAAAGCCTGTGGACATTGGAATGAGAAGTGCATTTGCCTAGGAATTTAAACAGTGTGCTGGTATGTTTTCTTAGAGTTGGCCACTTAGTCTGTTTTCTGCTGTTGTAATTAACACTGGTCCTAGACCATCTTTGCTTTTTAAAAACATACATTTTCTTAGGTTGTACTTTTCCAAATTGATGAAGCTGGGTCAAAGTGAATGTAATTTTATGGCTCTTAATTAAAAATGTGACTAATTTTCATGAGTGAGACTGTCCAAAAACTGTGCATGAAGTAGCTGATTTAGATTTCTGGATTTCCATCTGGCTAAGCTGCTTTTTAAAAAAATTTTGGTGATACTGAGGTTTGCTTGCTAGGCAGGTGCTCTATCTCTTGAGCCCCTGGCTTAGTCCCTGGCTAAGCTTTATTTAAAGCTTTATTTGTACTACATGAGAAGTTTAGGATAGTTAGTGGGTTCATTTTTTTCTTTGCTTTTTCATCCTGTGGCCTGTGGAGGGCACTGGAGAAAACACTAATGAACAATTTGAACATTTGTGTAATTATTTTTGAAATGATTTTGCATTTTATGAACTTTACGCAGACAGTTTATAATACTTCAGCTTTCTCATAAAAAGCATCAGATCAGGGGGAAATACATACTTTTTAGTAAGACCTGGAAATAGGGCATCAGTGTTTGTATTTTATTATTTTATTTTAATTTTTATTTATTTGTTTAGTTTTAAGACTGGGTTTCCCTGTGCAGCCCAGGCTGGTCTCAAGCTCTCAACCCCTCAACCCTCCTCCTGTCCCCACCTCGTAGTGCTGTAGTTACAGGAGGGCACCTGGCTTTGGTTGTCATTATTGTTAAGTTGCAGCAGGGTTTTCAACTGTACCTTTTGCTTTCTTCTTATTTTGGAACAAGTACTAGTACACTAAGCTCTACCGAGTTTTATTGTTTAGATTTTCTTTCCTTTTTCTCTTCCTTCTCTGTCTCTTCCTTCTGGCATTTTGTTTAGGCCTATTCACAAATTCTCAACCTGCTTTCTGTTTGTTTATTTTGCAGTACCGAGGCTTGAACTCAGGGCTATACCTTGAGCCACTCCATGAGTCCTGTTTTGTGATGGGTTATTTCAAGTTAGTTTCCCAAACTATTTGCCTGGGCTGGCTTCAAACTGCACTCCTCCTGATCTCTGCCTCCTGAGATTATAATCCCTCCTGCCGGCTGGGATTATAGGTGTGAGCCACCGGTGCCCAGCTCAAACTGCTTTCTGTGTGATCATCACTGCACATCATGTTACATTGCCTCGGTTCTCATTGTGGAGGTGGTGGTCTTCCTTGTGCTTCAGAGCATTGGCGTGAGAGCTTAGCATTCTAAGACCTCTTTTTGAACAGTGTTTACTAACTTTCAGGTCCAGTCTAGTTCAGCTGTGGCTCTGTGGGCATGTTGTTTTACCCCGTTTGCTTTAGTTTTCTTGTTTGTAATGTGTATCTGCTGTAAATAAAGTCTATTCACACAGTATGTGGATGACAACTTTTAAAACTTGTATAAGAGGGTGTCTTCAAGTGGGGCAGATCTCGTGTGAGTAGAACACCACTATGGTATTCTACCGCCTTCCCCCTCTACAGAAATGTACAAGACAGCAGTGCTAGGGCTGAAGAGGATTTGAAGGATAGGGGTAATTTTCAGTAGCAAGAGGACTAAAATTTGAATCATTGGAAAGTTAGGGAGATGGGGGAGCCTGGTGTGTCTGGGGAACTGTGATCTATGGTGTGTCCATAGTAGAGCAGAGGTGGGGAGGTCTGGAGAGGTGAAGTAGAGAAGGGAGGCAGGGCAAGATCTGGGCCTTCTCCTGCCCTGTAGTGGTGGTCTGAGTGCCATCCTTGAGGCAGTTGACTGGAACCTGTGAGGAAGGATGACCATACAGTATTAGGATAAATCAGTGCAAACACGGAATGATCTCACTCAGTTCTGATGGGACCCTCACATAGCTGCACCATTATCATGTGCATTTTTTTTTTAATATATATTTTTTTATTTTTTATTTTTTTATTATTTTTTTTTCATTTTTCTTTTATTATTCACATGTGCATACAAGGCTTGGTTCATTTCTCCCCCCTGCCCCCACCCCCTCCCTTACCACCCACTCCGCTCCCTCCCTCTCCCCTCCCCTCAATACCCAGCAGAAACTATTCCGCCCTTATTTCTAATTTTGTTGTAGAGAGAGTATAAGCAATAATAGGAAGGAACAAGGGTTTTTGCTGGTTGAGATAAGGATAGCTATACAGGGAGTTAACTCACATCGATTTCCTGTGCGTGTGTGTTACCTTCTAGGTTAATTCTTCTTGATCTAACCTTTTCTCTAGTACCTGTTCCCCTTTTCCTATTGGCCTCAGTTGCTTTTAAGGTATCTGCTTTAGTTTCTCTGAGTTAAGGGCAACAAATGCTAGCTAGTTTTTTAGGTGTCTTACCTATCCTCACCCCTCCCTTGTGTGCTCTCGCTTTTATCGTGTGCTCAAAGTCCAATCCCATTGTTGTGTTTGCCCTTGATCTAATGTCCACATATGAGGGAGAACATACGATTTTTGGTCTTTTGGGCCAGGCTAACCTCACTCAGAATGATGTTCTCCAATTCCATCCATTTGCCAGCGAATGATAACATTTCGTTCTTCTTCATGGCTGCATAGAATTCCATTGTGTATAGATACCACATTTTCTTAATCCATTCGTCAGTGGTGGGGCATCTTGGCTGTT